CTATGGCAACGCCGCCAAGCGCCCGTTCGAACGCAAAAAAAAGAAAAGGCCTCATTCAGAGGGGAACATTTGAGGTGAAATCTGAAATAATAGGAAGGAGTCATTCATGTAAAGATCAGGAGGAAGAGCATTCCAGGGGAGCACACTGCCCTAGGTGAAAATGAGCTCAAGCAATCAAGAGGCCAATTTGACTAGCACAGTGAGAGGGATAGTAATATGAGATGAGGCCAGATTATGTAGGGTCTATTGGGTTATGGAAATACGTCTTGATTTTAATTTAAAGTGAAACAGGAAGTTATTGGAAGATTTTAAGTAGGGAAAGGGCATGATCTTTAAAGATCACTCTGCTTGGGGTGACTGGTTAGCTCAGTTGGTTAGGGCATTGTGCTGATAACACTAAGGTTGCCAGTTCGATCCCCGTATGGGCCACTGTGAGGCTGCGCCCTCCTTAAATGAGTCAACTATGCCATTGTAGCATGAAAGCAATGTGTAACCAATGACCATGGCTGTTCCCCAATAAAGTGGTGGGCAAAAATGGAAGGAGGGAAGTAATTTAGGAAACTACTGCAGTTAAACAGATAAAAAATAGTGACTTGGAAAAGATGTTTACCTGTGAGGATTATCTGGGATAATGTAAATAAAATGCTAAATTCAATGTCTGATACATAAGCAACAATAAAATGGTGTGAGATAATAGAACATATATATTGGTCTCTGTCCCTGGTTCCTGGCACAAAGCTCCTGAAAACCCTTGTAATTTCCTAAGTGATAAGAGCACTAGGAGCATCTTTTGTTCTAATATTTGATCTTTGATTCTATCCCTGACCTAGGGCTCCTAAAACCCTTGTAAATTCCTAAGTAAAACACCAGGAGCATCAGGCCGGCCGCGTGGCGCGATGGTTAAGAACTGGCTTGGGACCCCAGAGGGGCCCAGTTCAGATCCCACATATGAGGGCCAGTGACACTGCCCTCTACAGCTAAGATGCTGAACAACAGCTCAACCTGGAGCTGGGCTGCCTTAAGTTGCCGGCGACGGCGTAGGCTGCAGCCCCTGTGGCAGTGGGTTGCCATGGGCTACCGTGTGTAGCCAGCAGCCAGCGTGAGCGGCCAGCAGCCGCAGTGAGCGGCCGTCCAGAAGCTGGCGACTGATCTGCCTTGCCCGGGGAAGAGCGCAATGATGGTGCCAACTTGGGCCAGTGAAGCAACGTCCTCCACAACTAGACTGAAGAACAAAAGGACAGCAACTTGTCTGTTCCCCTTCCCCCAATTCCCCAGCACTGTTCCCATCCCCCCAATTCCCCAATAAAAATCTTAAAAAAAACAACAAAACAAACAAAAAAAACCACCAGGAGCATCTTTTGTTCTGAGGGGACTCTGGGTGGGCTCCTGGATGTGACCTGGTCACCAGAAAGACAGAGCCATAATTAGAAGCTTGGAATTTTCGGCCCTACCTCCCTACTTCTCCATAGAGAGGAAAGAGGCTGGAAATGGTGCTAGTAATTAATCATGCATATGTGATGAAACCTCCATAAAATCCCAAAAGTATGGGGTTCAGAGAGCTTCCAGTTTGGTGAACACATCTATACTGCAAGGGTGATACACCCCAACTCCAGGGGTACAGAAAGAAGTTTCTGTGTTTGGGATCCTCCCAGACCTCACCCTATGTATCTCTTCATCTGGCTGTTTATCTGTATCCTTTATCATAACCTTTAATAAACTGGTAAACATAAGTATTTCCTTGAGTTCTGTGAACTGCTGTAGCAAGTTAATTGAAGCCAAGGAGGGGTTCATGGGAACCTCCAATTTGTAGCCAAATCTGACTGAAGCTATGGGTAACCTGGGGATGTACTATTTGCGATTATCATCTGAAGTGGTGTGAGAGCAGTCTTGTGGAACTGAGTCCTTAACCTATGGGATCTGACAATATCTCCAAATAGACTGAGTTAAATTGTAGAACACACAGCTGGTGTCACAGAGGTTTGGTGGAGGAAAAATTCCCACATATTTTGTGACCAGAAGAGTCATAAGTGAAGTGTTCTGTGTGAGTAGTAAAGGAGATGCACAGGAGGAAAAGAACTGAGGTTTTTCCCTACACAGGAATAAGACATACTGGTGGGAAACTGAGCTTTTCCAATACAAATAGTACCTTTTATTATTATTAGTTTAGGCCTAAGGAAAAATCTTCTTGTTTAATAAAATATGAACATCAAAATCCTTGAGACAATAACTCAGGAAATATACAATGACCACAATACTCAAAGTATAAGAAGTAGAACTCTATTATTCATTTAACAAAAATTTTTGTGGATCTACTCTGCACAAATTATGAACAGGTTTACTGAGTCAACACAGGAAACTTGATTAACAGACCAATTAATCTGTAAGGGATCTGAGAAGAGTTCAACCCCTTACTTTACAAACAAATTGCAGCCCAGAGAAAGAAACTGCTGTTTCTGCTGAAACTGCTACCTAATCTGGAATATGAGAGGATCATGCCCTCGTTTGCCCCAAGGACATGCTAAGAATAGCTAAAGATTTTCATTAACATAATTCAAAAGTTTTTAATGAAACGCTATGTGAACAGCACATTAATGTACTATGCTAAGAAAGATGTAATATTTATATAAAGCCTTTGATATAGTGTTTTGCACAGGGTAAATGCTCAATAAATAGTAGCTATTACTTCCACCTGTATGGTCTTTGGAAGGCTGAATGTATGATATCTACCTGACATCAACTGCTTGATTAAATTGATCATAGAGCCACAGGAACTCTAATCTAATTCAATCCTTTGATCCAGATGGAAAAGGTGAGGTTTAAAGGGGCTAAATGACTTGCAAAGCCAGCCACAGTGAGTGAACTAGAGACAGAGCCCAGACCAAACCCTGAATCCCCCAGTCTGGTTTCCATTATATGTCACAGACTTGCAGTTTACATATTCAATATATAAGGTAGTGTTCAAACTTTTATGAGGGTAATAAGAACACAGCTACTATACCTGACTTTTTCATTCCCTTTATTAAAGTCTTCATTGAGCTATGATTTTGATATAAGAATCATCAACAATGCAGATTAGGTATGTACTGTCTTATGAGTTAGCAATGAAACAAGTCTTAGTAATGCAGTTCTATCTTGGACACCTGATGAATGGTTAGGCTACCAGAACAGCTATTATATGCATTTAAGTAGAGAGACTACAAGCAGAATACAAATACAAAGGAGAAAAGCATTTTCCAAAACACACTTAAAATGTGACAATAGCTGTGGGTCACTAAGAAACTGAGATAAACTCTCTTGGCATACAGCAACAACAAAACGGTCTGTTTTATGCAAACACTAATAAAAGCACGGGGAGACCAATATTAAAAGCCACAATGTGGGAAGGGTTGTAGCAAGTTTTCTCTTTTACAAAGGGAAAGGCTGACAGTGAAATTTCAAGTCATTTTGCATGAGATTAAGGTTTCCAACCCCTACTCCCACAAAAATAAAATATAATCTCTGTTTGGGAGGGAAAACCGGACAGGGCATAGAGGGGAATCCAATCTAGCTGTAGTGAATTAAATTCAACTCATTCCCTGAAAAAAAATCTACAGCAAGCATACCTCGTTTTATTGTGCCTCACAGGTGTTGCATTCCATACAAATTGAAGGTAAAACCCTCCAACAACAAAAAGACTACTCGCTTTATTGCAATATTCCTATTACGGTGATCTGGAACCAAACCCTCAATATATCCGAGGTATGCCTGTTTGCGTAGGGCATTGTGAAAGATCCTTGCCTTGAAGACCTCAGAACTGCAAGGGACAAGGGAGGAGAACGGGATGCGCAGAAGTACATAAATAATTCAAAGCGGAACAGAAGCACTCTAAGAGAGGTTCCAATCAGGCCTATGGGTTCAAGAGCAGGGGAACTTCACGACTCACAAAATGCTTCATGGGAGAAGTGGCGGTCAAGATAATCGCTGAAGAAAGGATAGACATGTGGGGATGAAGGGTAGGAGAGTTAGGTAAGTGTTCGTACAATCCGGAGAGGCCAATTCCCAGTCCCCTCACAACCGCCGGCCTCCTCGCGCGCTCGGCCGGCGTCCGGCGCACCCTCTCTCACGCGGCAGACGCCAAGGCTTCGGACCAGGCCTAACCCGTCCCGGTCCTACCCCGCCCCTTCTCACCTCGGAGGTTTCCAAATTCCTCCACGGTCAATAACCCTGTCTAAGGACAGGAGAAGACGACGCCGACAGGAGATAGCTCCAAGGCCGGCGACAGAGATATCCCGTCAACTCACGAACTTGAGGTGGCTGCCAGGCCGCATCCCTATGGCAACGCCGCCAAGCGCCCGTTCGAACGCCCGCGCCAACGCCCGCGCGCCGGCAGTTCCGTATTGCTCCCCAATAGGCAGCCAGGGAACTCGTTGATGTTAGCCGCCTTCTCCTCTAGAAGACCAATCAGAGATCTGAGGAAACAGTGGGCGTAACTACAATGTCCATCTTTCAACCAATTGTTCAGCTTCAGTGCAGGTCTCGCGTTGTTCTAAGTGAGTGAAAGGCACCTTTGAGGCGGGTCGAGTACTCTTCTGCTTCATACTATTGGTCTCCTAGAGCGCAATCGCGCTCTCCGGATTGGTGGACGAACTCCTCTCCGTCCAAGGGCCGCCTCCTGTCTCGGTCGGCTTGGGGTGAGTAGCCTTGGAGAGGGCCCTCTGGGTTGTTCTCCGCGTAGGAACTGAGGTTCCGAGCGATGGGAGTCCGCAACTGACAATCTCGGGTCGCTGCAGGGTCAAAGGTGGGCGCGCCCCCCGCCAAGCTGTCAGTGAGGCGTTGGCAGCTCAGCCTCAGCCACTTGCGGTACCTGTTTCCAATGTGCACAGAGAGAAGGCTGGGTTCAGTTCCGGTTGAGCCTTGCTTCCCTGATGCAAGTGGTGATGGGGTGGGTCGTCAGGATCCCAGAGTTCCCGGGTTTAGGGCCCAGCGGCCCGAGCGCCGTACTGTCCCCTCCCTGAGCCTCAGTTTTCACCTTATTAAACTTAAAATCCTACTTACTTTCCAAAAAAGATTTTATATTTAATAATTGCTTCATTTATGGAATGGATAATATCATGGCAGAGCAGAAGTAAAGAAATTCATGAGTCCCATCACTTAAAATATACCGTGTTTCCCCAAAAATAAGACCTAACTGAAAAATAAGCTCTAGCATGATTTTTGAGGATGCTTGTAATATAAGCCCTACCCCAAACATAAGTCCCAGTTAAGATCATCAGCCAGACATGACTGTTTGAATAAATGTAGATTTTTGTACATGAATAAATGTAGATTGTTGGAGCAACAATTAATATAAGACCTGGTCTTATTTTCAGGGAAACACAGTACCTTCCTTTTTCTTTGTTCTGGCCTAGTTTGGGCACTATGTGTTTATTACATTTAAAATATATAAGTAAAGTAAACTGAATGCAATCAAATCGCCAAATGTAAAATGCTAATATAGAGTTGAGGTTAAGAGCAGACCTACTTTTGAGTTACTACCCAGACACATCTCTGAGCCATAGTTTCCTTTTTCACTCTTCTGAAAAATGGCAGTAATGTCCCAGGGAGTTGTGAAGATTTATTGAAATAATGAAGGGAAAGCACTTGGCACAGCGCCTGGCAAGTAGTAACTCCTCAAAAAATGGTAGCTATTAACTTCATGATAGAAACAAGCAAATATAGCCAATGGGCCAATAGATTAACTGTAATTGAGTACCCAATTTAGCTCAAAACTTGTAAGTTAAAGAAATAACAAGGAAACAATCCATTCTTTAAAAGAGTGAACTTTCTTCGTAGTACCTATATTAAAAGGAATTTATCTTGTGGGACCTTATGCATAAGGAATATACATGGTGTGATGAACAGTGTGTTCGCCAGCAGTTTTGCAGAAAATTATAAAAAGCCATTTCTTGATTCGACTATCAATAAAAGCTAAGAGCATGCCATTAAAACAACATAAAGCTTTCTGATGATCTTTTATGACACAGAAATAAGAATAATCACATATATTCAGTACTTCTGAGATGTCAGACACTATGTGTACATTATTTATTTTAAACTCTACAACAACTGTGAGAAAGTGTGGCATAGAGAAGTATTTTGCTCAATGACACAACTGTTAAATTAGGGAGCTGTCTTTCTCACTGCAAAGCCAGTGATGCTTTTCTGTATTGTGCCATGCCGTTTCTGACTGAAAGAGGATGAAATGCTTGTAATACCAGATACACAGGCAGACTTACCCAAATGGAGGCAGGGGGGCTACAGAGGTACCTATGGCAGCGGTTCTCAACCTTTCACAGGGGTCGCCTAAGACCATCGGAAAACACATATTTTCGATGGTCTTAGGAACCAAGACACCGCTCCTCTATCCGTCTCCAGGCCCACATGCAGATACGCCCACATACGAGTACCATGCGACCCCTGTGAAAGGGTCGTTCAACCCCCAAAGGGGTCACGACCCACAGGTTGAGAACCGCTGACTTAAGGTGAGAGCAAAATTTTTCTCTAATGGAAATTTCCACCTTGGGAAATGAAGAGATGGGATCAGATGATCACTGAACTCTAGACCCATCTGTCCATTTACCTTGTGGTTATAACACTTCAAGTTCAGCTTGTCCCAAACAGAAATCATTAGCTTACACTGTACTTCTTCCTCCACCTACTTCTTTTACACCTAGTCACCCAAACCAAACACCTTTCTTTCTCTCTCCCTAGAACAATGAAACATGAAATAGTGTTGATTTCCTTTTTGAAATATTCAAATTCATTCCTTACTCTCCTTTCTCACAGCCTCTGCCTTAATTTAACTCTATATCATTTGTCATCTGGACTGTTGGTAACAGGCTTGTAACTGATGGGTCTCCTTGCCTCCAGTCTTTCCTTCTAATTCATTCTCCACCTTCCTTGCTTCCAGAATGTCTTTGTAAAATGTCAGTCTGACCATATTACATCCCTGCCTAAAACTAGTCAAAGGCTTCCCATTGCCTACAGAATATAAAATAAGCTGTTTAGCAATGGAATGTCGTCTTGTAATTGTGGTTTTTAGCTCACACTCCTCCCCTTGCCTGGAGTACCCCTTTCCTCTACCTTTATTTTGCTGATCAGCTCCTAGCCTTCCTTCAAAACCCTTATGGGGTACCCCTTGGACCTAAAGATAATCACTGTTTTTTCTTTGCTTCCTTTCCATCTTACACATTACCCCTACAATGCACAAACCACACTGATAACTTCTCTGTTTACATATCTTCCACTTTCACTAGTCTCTGAACCCCTAGAAAGCAGGGGCTTTGTCTTTAGCTTCATATCTGCTCTTGAGTCCTGTCACATTGCCTGTCGCATCACACACTCAACAGATGTAAAATGAATAAATGAACCCCTTCAGGCCCTAATAAAAGAATTCCCCATGTTTGCTTTCCAGAATTGTACAGTAGATGGCACTAATAAGCCACTTAACAGAAATCCTTTACTGGGAATGATTTTTTTTTTCCCCCAACCTTGTCTGACTTTGGCTTCATCCTAGAAGCCAATGTTCATGTTATTACAGGTGAAATCTGTTTTTTCCCTCAGCCAAATAGCAGAGATAGCAAGATGACTCAGCAGCTTGGTCTCCATGAGAAAAGAAAGTGGCAGATGTCTAGGGAAAGGTGCAGTTGAGGGAACATTTTGTCTCAATTTAGTCATGGTAGTTGAGGGCTTTTTTTCTTTTTCTTTCTGTGTTTTCTCTTTTTGCTGCTGTTGTTACAAGAGAGAGCGTTATTCATGGATGGGTGGCTCATTTCTGTCCACTCCTTTGAAAGGGAAGAAGGGAGTTGGAGAATCAGAGAAAAGACCATTATGATATGGGAAGTAACAAAAGCTGAGCAGTCACAGAATTGCTTGTGGGCTGGCAGAGTTGGCCCTCCTCACAGTGCAGTGGCCTGGGCAAACTTCCTGGACACCAGCACCCTAAGTTAGGTGCTTGTGTGCTTGTCCAAGGCTAGCATCAAGGGTGTTCCCCACACTTGGTACTTGGGAACCCGTAAGCAACTGGGTGTGGTTTTGAACAAGTGGTTTAGATTCCTGTTTCCCAGGAAAAAAACAGAGGAGCTATAGAACCCTTATCAAAGAGGCAAATTTTAGGGGCCTCTGGCTATCCTGTACACCTCCAAGTTTGTCTTTGGGCACCAGGCCTTTCGTCTACATCCCCTTCCAAATAAAACCTATTCTGTGGAAAGGATTCCAGCCATACATCTTTAAAATCTCCATGTGAATATATATCAAACACTGGGAATTTCGGAATTGGAAGTAATTTTTTAAATAATTTGCGTGTCCTCAGGGCCACTTGTGCTGCAAGCCCTGCTCTTGCATGGTAAGGAGAGCTGTATAAGGGAAAAGAATATACAGTAATACCTTGGTTTGCGAACATAATTCGTTCCAGAAACAAAGTACTTGTATTGTAAGACGTCACTCGTTTACCACGTTAAAATGTATTAGAAATGTTTGCTCGTCTTGTGGAACACTCGCAAACCACGTTACTCGCAATCCAAGGTTTTACTGTATAGCCTTTGGAATTGGACGTACTGGGATTCAAATCCCACCACTCACAGACCAACTATGCCTTTGGGTAATTATTTTAGCCTTTTTGAATCTGTTTCCTCGTAAAATGAAGATAATAATGCTTATTGCTAAGAGTTGTCTTGAGTATTAAAAAAGATACATGTAAAGAATCTGGCACAGTGTAGATGCTGAATTGATAAGATGGTGGCATGAAACACTGTTTCTGCTAAAGGGATTTTAGACTATGAAATACAAGTTAGGGGAGGGTTTGGAGAGCTCTTTCTGTATCTAAAGGTATATTTGAGGGCTTTTTGGGTTGAGCTATGCTTGCAACAGCACTCTGATTAATTTAATGAAAATATTGGAACACAACACATCAGTATAGCCTTTTATCTGTGAATTATTTTTTGGCACCTAAATCCTGAACCTCCTAGGCTGTGAGGAAATTGTATATATAGGGAAAGCCAAGAGCACTTTTCCTTAGCTTCTGGAACCTTCTGATGACATTGAGGGGGTTTTTTTGTTCAGGTTTTTTTTAACTACCTAAGGCACTTTGCCACTTTTCTGAAGTGTGAATTGCCTGCTGTCAGCCTGGCGTTCTCACCTCTGCAGTCCTGGCTGCAGGCATATTTGCATATTGGATGCTGTGTTCTTTAACCTCCTGAGGTTTGAATCTATTTGGAGCCCCTGTGTGTGTGTGTGTGTGTGTGTGTGTGTGTGTGTGTGTGTGTGTGTGTGTG